GACAAGGCAGGCTTTAGAGCTGTTGTACACAGGTTCTCTATGAGGTACAGGCTATTCATGGCACATAAGAACAACTTTTTTGGAGGAGTCCTGGTAGCAGAATGGGTTAAACATTGAGCTGTTAATTGAAGGATTACTCTTTTAAAGAAAGATGAAGCAGTATGCTTCTGTAAATATTTACAACCTTGGAAATCCTAAAGAGCAATTCTCTGTTCTATGGATGTGAGTCAGAACCAACTTCACAGTGGTGATAGTGTTTTGGTTCTTGCTTTGTCTTACTATTAAATAATTGTTGTTCTGTGCTATCAAGCTGGAACTGATTCATAGCTGACCCTCCAGTGCATTTTCAGAGGCGAGCAACTGATGGATTTGAACCTTGTGCCTTCATATTACAGCACAGCTTCTTACCATTAGGCCACCAGAGCTCCCTAATTCTTATTTAGGACTTCCTAAATTTTTTAACAGTTAATGGGTTTAATTCAATAATAGTTAATGGTACACATCTTAGGCTGGTTCTGTAGGTCATTAAATATTTCCATGCTCTATTAATGTTATGTTTCAAAACTAATTTGTGAATGTTCACTATGGAAAAAAAAATATGTATAGAGTTAAATTTTGTACACTGACTTTGTTTACTGAGGCCTTACTAATTTTTCCTTTAGGAACCAGTAAAATTCGTAAGGCCTCAGTAAGCAAGTTTTATATATATATGTATACATACACACTAAAACAATTGTGTGTAACTTGAAATACATATATATAAATTCTAACAATTTAAAAGTAGAATCTTTTGTCTTCTGTATTGTTCTGTTAATAAAAGAGCTTTGAGTTATAGTGCTGAAGAAGAATGTTGAACATACCATGAACTGCCAGGAGAACAAATAGGTCTATCCAGGAGAGGGTAAAACCAGGCTGCTCCCTGGAGGCAAAGGATTTTGAAGCTCTGTTTGACATACTTTGGGCATGTTGCAAGGAGGGACCAGTCCTTGGAGAGGCACATTACGCTTGGAAGGGTGGAGGGACAGCACAACAGAAGAATACGCTGTATGTGATGGGTTAAATCAATGTATGATTGATGATGATGGGTAGGTGTGTCAGAAACATTGAGGTTGGCTCAAGAAAGAGCAGAGTTCAGAGCTGTTGTAGACAGGGTTGCTATGAGTCACAAATGACTTGACGGCATGTAACAAGAACTCTGGTGATGCAGTGTTGTAAGTGTGAAACTACTAACTGAAGAGTCAGTGATTCTAATTCACTGCCCACTCCATGGAAGAAAGACAGAGCAGTCTATTCCCATAAAAATTTATAGTTTTGGAAAACCTATGGGCAGTTCTACTGTCCCATAGGGTCACAATCAGAACCAACAGGAGAGCAGTGGTTTCCTACTTAGATTTTCCAGTTATATTCATTTTATTTTGATCTTTGTTTCTTATACTGGTTAAGACTTTAAGTACAATATTTTTAATACTTTATTAGTTTCTGTAATCAAACCCTCATATATAAAACCTTACATATTTAATATAGTACCTTTTACATAAAAATATAATACACACAAATAGGGGGAAATTAAGTGTAACATTTCAAGACCAAGATAGTTGTTAATTTCTGTTCAGTACAATTTTTAATTTAAATATAGATAGATATCATCATAACCTTGTTCTTGATCCCAAGGGAAAATCTGGGAGCATTTTAACATTAAAATGTTATTAAATTATTTTATTCATTATCAGATAAAGGAAATTCTATCATAAATACATACTATTTTAACAGAAAATGTCTTATTTTTTAGTTTCTTTTTCCTATTTATATTATTATCATTTACCCAAATTCACTTTTAAATAATACTTTCTATCCAAGAATACTTCTCTGTCATTAATTATTATCACTATATTTTTCAGTTTTTCATTTACCATGTATCATTTCATGCACCTTTCTACATGGTTTTCCAACCTCATGTTTACAATACTTGCACTGGTTTTGAAAAAAGATGTTTATAGAATTTACATTAATGTTTATGAAAAACTATGATTCTTCTCAAGCATCTTATATTGAAATTGTATAGCAAAACTACTGTGTGACAAATTTCTATAATCTTATTTCTCCCATATACTTATTCCCCCAGTTATATCTCCTGCCTTCTACTCATCAGAAACTCTAATGTACCGTCTTATGCTCAACATGGGAAGATGAACTGCAAAGTCTGGTCACTTATATATAATTAAAAGAAGGGAAAATAACTTTTAAAGCATTTGATAGACCTTATTATGAAGTAATCTGGGCATTAAATTTTTCCTTTGGGAAAGCTTTTATTGCAAATAATTGGCTTTGGGGTTTTTTTTATATAGCTAAACGTCTCATCGTATGTCTCATTGTATATCCCATTTGCTCCCATTTTATTTGGGATGATGTTGTTTTCTAGAGAGTAGACCACTTCAACTATATTTAACTACTTAATACCCTAAAGTTTTTCCTGATAGCATCTCTACAAAACTTTTTATTGGTTTGTACTCATTCACATACATTTTGTTTCATTCATGTACACTGTGTTTTATATATTAATATATACTGTATTTATGTAATTAATAACTACCGGTCTATGCTTATTATCCCCCTGTCTTCGAGTCCTCATGGAATCCTTCCTATTCCTTTATCCTCCCTCCACCCTGCCCCCTAACCTCTGCTATCCTTGTGTTGTTTCCCCCTTTCTTCTCCTCCACCTTCTCTTTCCCCTTTTGAGCATACTTTGCTTTGCTGTCCTCCTATTTCACAGTGGTGGTCTTATGCAGTATTAGTCCTATGTAACTGAGTTATTTCACTCTGCATAGTGCTCTCTAGCCTCTCCCATGTTATATATAGTATTTTACAAAATAGCTATTTGTTCCTTAGTTCTGTATAGTATTGCATTGTGTGAATGTATCAGCATTTCTCTACTTATTTGTTGTTGGGTATTTGTTTCTGTTTTCTTGATACTGTGAATAGTGTCTTTGTGATCTCTTTAAAGTTTGTTTTCTCCATTAAATTCACCAAATTTCATTCTTTTTAAGAAACAATCTCTTGTTACTAATTTTTTTCTTTAGCTAATTTTGGTTATTTTTATTGTTTCTATAGGCTTTCTTTATTATTTTTAACTATTTACATTGAGTTGTTATATTAATTTCCATTATTACACTCAGCTTTATATAGCTCCTTATTTTTTCAATTTTTTATTGATATTTTAAAGAAAGTTTACCAAGAACTTGAATTTCCATTCATTCATTATTGCACCTAGCACCTTAGTTTTTAATCAAGCTATGGTTTTTTTCACTTTTGTAATTCAATTGGTTATGTCTCTTGCCCTCTAAACTTAACATTTGGAAATGTTAAACTCAGAAATTGATGCACTTTCTTATGCCTTATATAGTAGATAAAGTCTGGTGATTGTTTACATTCTGTTTTGTAATACTTAAAATACTTAAAAATCAACCAAGCACTACTATTGGCCGCTTTGTCTGGTTAAGATTTACAGCCTGGGAAATCCAACAGAGAGTTGTTATTTACTCAAAGGTGGTTGTTATATGCTGTGGTATAGGAACCAACTCCAGCTGGTTTTTAGAGGCAGTAATTCACAGCAGGGGAGAATGCCCCTCCTTCTTCCATGGAGTCTTTAGTGTACAGTGTAGCATCTTATCAGTAGGACACCAAAGCTCCCTGGTAGTGAATTTAAAACTTTGGTGATCTAAATAAATAGAAAGGATCATGGAAAAAACGTGAGTAGTTTGCTTTTGAAATTATTAAATCACGCCCTTACCAAAGTGTTCATTGTCAAACTCATTTTCTCCCTCACCACCACCACTTCTGCCTAGGCAGAATGTCTAGGCATTCAGGGCTGCCTGTTCAGAAAGTACTGTCTATAAAGCTGAAAAGAAATCTTAAAATTGCCAGTGTTTAAGAACAGTATATGTAAACCACGATAGCTTTTCTAATTTGGCTGATTATCATACTAAAATCAAAGAACCTTTGGTAGATTAGTGGTTTGGACAACTCTAAAACAGACATTTATGGAGATCTCAAAGATATTCCTCTTGTAATAGACATTGCTTTAATGAGTTTCTAATAATTACTTCACTGTACTCACAGTACTCAGGCAACCCAAAGGTTGACTAGCTGGGTAACCCTATGCATTTCTGTAGAGTGTTATGTCCCTAAAACTGTCTTCATCTTTTTTTAAAGTCCTCAAGTTTTTAAAAAAATAGAACTTGTAAAAATCATTGGTTAAATAGCTCAGAAACCACAAAATAAACTTTTAAACATAAGAAACAAAAAAGAGGCATATGATTTTAAAATTAGATATGAAAACTAAAATATTTGTGTTCATGAAAAATATTCAAACCAAACGTTACTGTGACCCTAAAAAGCACAGTAGACATGCACTATCGTTTTCATGATAGCAGCTAATGAGAATACAGTGTTGAAATACATCTGCAAGAAGAATACAAAGACGAATGTCTCCTCCCACTAGTTGTATTAAAGCCTCAGAATCTACTGTATTTAGCTTTTGCTGAATTTTATTATGAAACAGACTCACATCATTCTTCCATGGAATGGGTGCTGAGACCCAGTGGCCGCTCTTTCCATTAGCGGCTCAGTGCTTACTATCCAGCCTGTCTCCAAGCCTTCTGAATGACAAACTAAAAAAAAAAAAAAAAAACCAAAGACACACAACAAAACAAAACACCCCAAACTAAAACAAACCAACCAACTCAACTCATTGCTATGAGTCAGAAATAACTCATTGATAGTCTGCAAGCAGGTTTCTGGAGACTGTATATTGCACAAGACTGCTCATCTTCCTCCCTTTGAGCCGCTGATGCATTCCAAGTACAGAGAGGCACCACCGTTGAGTTAGCAACACAACTCTCTCTACACACTAAACCACTAATTAAAATCCTTGAAGGTCTGGATTGTATCTTCTGGAGCAGACATTTCGATGAGAGGGATTTGGAATTATAAAAATGAAGAAGATGCCGACGTCGTGCGAAGAAATAAACAAGAAGGGTAACAAAGTACCCTCGTGATTGAAACAAAGCACACTGGAATTCTAGATGTTGGCGGATTGTGCCACCAGCGGAAATGTCCGCCTTGCTGGCACAGGAATTATGTAGGAACTCACAATCACAGGGAGGAGGGAGCCGGAGGGAAACCTGAGAGGAGCGGACCTTGAGCAGAAATTCAGGTCCCTGACCTACGCTCAGGGCTTGAACCCTGGAGAAACTGGCAAGTTCTGTTAATATGGAAGAGCCTGCAGCTCCCTCTGAACCCTAAGAGGGCGCCTGTGCCTCGACAGGTGCAGAAGGTGCAGAAGAGGGTGGCCCTGATACCGGTCTTCCGGTTGCTGAAGCTTCCGTGAGGCTGGTGGTGTGAGGCCCAGCCCACAGTAGTGTGTCAGACTTTGGGCTGGCCCAAGCGGCGGTGGGCGGGGCCAGGCTTCTACTAACAAAGGGCCACACTAGAGGCAGCTGGACAAAGCTAGTGATGTGCAGGTATTATGTACATGGGCTGTGCAAGGAGGGTGGGAACCGCCGCTATTCTCATGACCTCTCAGGGCCTGCTGCCGTGGGCTGAGCCTTGCCCTCTGGGGTTTCTGCAAATCCCGGGACGCCTGCGCAGGCCCAGCCCCGCAGAGAGGAAGGGGTGGAAGCCCCCCTTTCGGCTTCCTCCAGCTCCTTGCCTCTGATTGGCTCAGTTGCAGAAGGTGGGTCTTTTGAAACAGGGACAGACAATATGGGCTCTCCAGCTGCTCGAGCTGGTGTAGAATCTTGGGCAGATACTATTGAGTTTGTTCCTGGAATGCCATACTGTGGCCACAGGGATCCGTATTGGGGCCATAGAGCTCTTTGTACCGCCGCCGCCGCCGCTCCCCCACAGACCGCAGTTAATGTAGAACAGCTGGTCTTAGGGGTGGGGGAACGGCTTTGCCCCCATGCCGATGTAGGTGAATGTCCTTATGGAGAGCAATGTTTGTATCTCCACGGAGAGAGGTGTGACATGTGTGGTCTGCAGACTCTGCACCCAACGAATGCTGCCCAGCGAGCAGAGCACATAAAGGTGTGCATAGAAGCACATGAAAAAAAATATGGAGCTCTCTTTTGCTGTGCACTGCACTATGGACAAGGTGTGTGGCATCTGCATGGAAGTTGTCTATGAGAAAGCCAAACCCAGCGATTGCCGCTTTGGCATCCTTTCCAACTGCAGCCACACCTACTGTTTTAAGTGCATCCGTGTGTGAAGGAAAGCCAGTTATTTTGGAAGCAGGATCATCAAGTCATGCCCATAGTGCAGGGTCACTTCCAACTTTGTTATTCCCAGTGAGTTCTGGGTGGAGGACGAGGAAAAGAAGCAGAAACTTATTCAACAATACAAAGAGGCAATGAGCAACAAACCCTGCAGGTATTTTGATGAAGGCAGGTGTTGCTGCCCCTTCGGAGAGCACTGTTTTTATAAGCATACTTACCCTGAGAGTCCAGGGGAAGTTCACCAGAGTCAGGATGCTGGATCCAGCACCTACTGGAATCAACTTGCGGGAGGTATCATGGCCTTTCAGTGCAGTGGGAAAAGGTTTATGGCACTTTATTTGGCCAATCTGTTGATTATACATCTTCTTTCAAAGAGAGGTGATACTCCCCAATGAGAGTTGCTCTTCTTTACAATGAGAAATATTGTCATTTTGAATCTTTAGGACCCTGCTGTGCCATGTAGCTTCGTTTGCTGAGGTGCTTTTGTCTAATAACTGCTGTATTCTTTTTACAGACCCATCTATCACTTTAAGGGGTTGTAGAAGCAATTTTTATACAATGTCCCTCTCTTCCTTTCCTCATAGATTTTCTACTAGAATTATGGTGTTTAATTAACTTTAAAAGTAACAAAAGTCCTTGAAGTTGTTACTGTTATTGTGTGCAGTGAGTCAGAACTCACTCATAGCTGACCCTCTGTAAAGGATTTGCAGAAGTAACCATTGTTCCTGTGAAATACTACTGTCAGATTTAGTTTATCTTGTGTTCTCTGTTTTTAATAGGACCCACTCAGTTTTAGGTTAGCTTTTACAGAATTTTTAATTCTCATTTTTAACTCCCTCATGATGAATGTGGCAAGAAAGGGAGGAATCTTGTCTGACCGAGAGGTTTTTATCTAACCTTAAAGAAATGGACTACTGCAGAACCTTGTGATGTAGCTGCTTATCACTATTTGTTTACATGCCTGTTCCTTATTAGTGTGTACTCATTGTCTCATGATTATTTTGTGGTTTTCTTGAATAGAATCAGATGTATGTGAAGGACCCCCAAACCGCTGGTCCTGTTCTGTCCCGAGTAGACGGCGAAGACCCAAGACTCCAAGACACCGGCTTGATGCAACAGCAAGAGATAAGAGGTTTATTGCGGAGCTCCGGGCGACCCTTATCTCTAGCAGGAGACAAAGGAGCCGACGGAGAGCAGACAAAGTTGGGTTTTTTTATACACTTTAGGGGGATACAACTGAGTATCAGTTTCTCATTGGGTGATGAAAGCACAGTTTGAATTCATTGGTTCAGTGTTCGCTCAGGGTTTACACAGCATTTTTGCACGTAGCACTTGCAGCAGTCACGTAGCACATGTAGCAGTTAGATAGATCTTTAACTATAGGGTGGTGTCATAAATTCTTAAGTATACAATGAGTTCAAACTCCAGGGCAGTGGAAAAGCACACGATACATTGGTTATCAGTCCGGAAACAAAGGCACATGGGTTATCAGTTGAGCTTGTTTGTTCTGCCTTTCTGCTAGCTATTCTTGAAATACTGTTGTCCTGGATACCTGGGTGTGGGGCTTTAAAAATTAACTTAGCTGAGAACTATAGAAACTATTTTAATTTCAATCTTTTCATATGCATATGTGTACATGTTTTTATCCTGTTTAGCTTGACATGATTATACTTGAAGCGCGGTTTCCAGTTTAAGAAATATGTGCATAAAACAGTTGTGTTTGAAATACGTATATAAAATAAGCAACCAGGAATAGATATTCCTGAACACAATTATATTCACACAATAAAATAAAGGCAGTACTAAAGAGTAACATGTTTAGGTATTGTATAATTGTCAGGTGTGTGAATAATCTTTCTTTCACTATGCAGACACCAATGATTGGTGTCTAATGACACAATTCAAGTGACTTTAGCTAATTGTGGTAGATATAAATCCTAAAAGGCATTCAGAACATGGCTTTGGTAGTTAGAAATGCATGTCCCTATGGAGTTAGAAATTGCTCTGGTGGTACACTATGTATTGGACTATTAACTAGAAAATTTATCATAGCATAAGACCACCACCTTGTCCCTACGAGAAAGATGAACAGTGTCTGTTGTTAAAATTTACAGTTTCAAAACCTCAAAAGAGGGTCACTATGGGTTGTAATCTAGTGGTAGCAGGTATTGAGTTTAGAACCATCTCATCCTTTGTAACAAAACAATTCTGGACTCAGACACAGTGTTTTGTATTGAGTATTTTACCTCTAGTCTTTATAAACAAAGGAATTTTTACAAAGTTGTCAATAGGTACATGTGATGGTAGTAGTGGTGGTAGTGACCTTTTTTTGTGCTTCCCGCAGATTTTTAAAGGAAGTAAATGATAAGGAAGGAGATAGTTCATTCTTCTCCTATGGAGCAGTTGGTGAATCCAGACTGCATCCTGTAAAATTGCAGCTCAACCTCTTACCATTAGACCATCAAGATCTCCTTTGGTAAATATAAGATTATGAAAGAAAACTCAGGAGCACAACAATAATAACAACATACTTCCCCAATGAAGAGAACCAAATGAGATTCTCTTCAGACAACAGGGTTGGGGTTTGTTTTTGTGTGTGTGTGTGTGTGTGTGTGTGTGAGACAATATGTTGTTAGAAACTATTGAGTTGAAACCAGCTGACCCTCCAGTGGGTTTTCAGAGACAATACATCACACAGGAGGTTTCCCATCTTTCTCCTATACAGAAACTGTTATATATGACTGCATTCTTTTGAGTTGGCAGTGTTAATTCTTTACTATTAAGTTACCAGAACTTCCTACAAATTAATATATTCCTGGTTATTTTTCTGAGGCCTGCTGAGTTTCTAACAAAAGTTAACCTAACTAATATGCTAGTTTGTATAAAATTAGAAACTATTTCAGGCATGTAACACGATGAACTCAACAATTTTCTGTCTTCCATGTGAATTTTAAAGGCCATTTAGCATGTGTTTATGTTTTGTTCAGTAGTATTTTGAAAGGGCTTTTTTTTCCCAAATGGTCTTTTTAAAAAAATCATCAAACCTTTTTATACACAGTAGTATAATACACATAGTATACTTAAAGCCTTTTAAAATACAGTATTATGTATATATTTCTTTATCTTAAGCAAGTGTTTGCTAAAAAATAAAACTCAAACAAAAACATGAAAAGAATAAAGGATTTCACTTGAGTAAAATAAAGGCCATTTATGTAAACTTGATTAAAGTTCATGTTGTTATATACCGTCGAGTCATCCGCAACTCATAGCGACCCTTTGTACAACAGCCCTAAACCGTGCTCTATCCTGTGCCAATCTCATTGCCTCTGACACACCCATCCTGATTACCCCAGTCACTGAATCAATCTACCTCATAGAGGGTCTTCCCCTCCTGCACTGTCCCTCTACTCTACCCAGCATGATGTCCCTCTCTAAAGACCTGTCTCTCCTTACAACATGTCCAAAGTATGTCAGATGAAACCCCAGAATCCTTGCCTCCAAGGAGCAGCCTGGTTTAACCCTCTCTAGGATGAATCTATTTGTTTTCTTGGCAGTCCATGGTACATTCAATACTCTTCTCCAGCACCACAGCTCAAAGGCGTCAATTCTCCTTCTATCCTCACTAGTCATTGTCCAACTCTCTGATGCATAACAAGTGATTGCAAAAACCATGGCCTCTATCAGGCGCACCTTAGTCTCCAGAGAGATACCGTTGCTCTTGAGTACTTTAGAGAGGTCCCTAACAGCAGACTTTTCCATCACAATACGTTTTTTTATTTCCTGGCTACTGGTGCCAAGAGTGTTGACCATGGAGCCGAGCAAACTGAAGCTGTGAACAATCTCAATTTCTTCACCATCCATCCTGATGCTACCGATTGGTCCAGTGGTGAGAATTTTTGTCTTCTTGACATTGAGCCTCAGTCCATATTGAAGGCTGCAGTCCTTGACCCTCTGCAGTAAGTGCATGAGGTCCTCCTCAGTTTCAGCGAGCAAGGTTGTGTCATCTGCATAACGCAGATTGTTGATAGATCATCTACCGATCCTGATGCCACAATTCTCCTCATAGGGCCCAGCCTCTCGGAGAATCTGCTCTGCATACAGGTTGAAAAGGTATGGAGATAGGACACATCCCTGACGTACACCCTTCCCAATTTTGAACCATGCAGTGTTGCCGTGCTCTGTTCTGACGACTGCCTCTTGGTCCAAGTATAGGTTTCTCATTAGCACGATTAAAGTTCATACTTTGCAAAAAAAGAAAACTCAGGAGCAGTGATTTTGAAAAAATTCTATATAACTTGGAAGAGGCTAGAGAACATTATAATAGCAAATACTGCATAAGGCTATTATTGTAAAAATAGAAGGATAACCAGCAAGATTTGTATGGCTACCCAAAGAGGCTTGGGGAGAAGCCAGGGGGCAGGTGAGGAGAGGGAGGTATTAAGGGCTCACAGAATTTGGTGGATAGAACAAGGGGGTGAAGGAATTACAAAAGAGCCAGTGGAGTTCTGGAAAGATGGGGTAACAGCAGGCCTAGATCAATGGTGACTAATTTTATAAGACACAATGTATGAGAATGATGGTAAGAAACACAAGGTAAATAAAGGGAGAGTAATAAACCAAATTATTATTTTTTAAAAAGGTCAACAGGGAAGGGGTAGGAGTAGAGGTGTGAAGATGAGTGGGGGAAATCATGGGGTCATACACTTTGGTGGGTGGAGGGAGGGTGTGAAGGAAGTAGGAAAGATCCTATGCAGACCTGAAAAGGCAGAGTAGTGGTGGGTATGGTTTCATGGTGACTGATTTTTATAAAGCCCAGTGTACAGGAATGAGTGTATGAAGAACAATGTCAGTGAAGAAAATGTGAAACAATGTATACAAATTCCGTATGCAAACCAATTTAAAATAAAAATTTTAAAAAGAAGAGTTGATATTGTTGTTAGGGTTGCTATGAGTTGTATACGAATGAACAACCAGTGTAAACACTGACCTATCCTGTACCATCCTTACAATCTCTGACACACTCAAGCCCATTGTTATAGTCACTGTGTCAATCCACCTGGCTGAGAATCATTCCCTTTTTCACTACCCAACCACTTTTCCAAGCATGATGTCCTCCAAAGAACAACTTTCCTTAGCAAGATGCCAGAAATTAAATGAGATGAAGCTTCATCATCTTTGCCTCCACGGAGAACTCTGGCTGTACTCTCCCCAAAACATGCCTGTTTGGTTTTTTTAGCAGTCCGTGGATGGGGTCTTTAGCATTCTTTTCCAACACCCCCGTTCAAAGGCATCAGTTCTTCTTCTGTCATCCTTAGTCATTGTTCAGCTCTCATATGCATAGCAAGTGACTGAAAAGACCATGTCTTTTTTTTCTTTTCTATAATTATATTTTATTAATTTTCATAAACAT